GAGACTCGAGTAACCTGTGACCCCTCTCCTCTACTCGATTATACACCTCCTCACAGAGGCTATTTGGATGGCCAAGTGGGGGGGGGGGGTGCGGGGGGTCACAAGGGCTTTTAGCTAGATTATTCAAAAACAAATGCAAGTCGTGAATATTAGAATTATATCACAACGTACCAAGCAGCGAAGAGCAGGGACTATTTGAATAAAAAAATCCAAGACTTTTACCTTCGTGGCGACTGCACTTAAGTTAGAGTTCACTTCCAAAAATCCTATTTTTATTAGTATCCCATTTACCCGACCCTATTAGAAATGACAAAACCAATTAATATCTGCCAATATCTTTACTATACAAGGCATTGCTATTTTAATACTAGAGATCGTATTATTTTTTTAGCTTACGATCCAGTAACATGTTATGAAAAATACTATATGTAAAAATACATAATGGCATTACAAACAAACAGTGAATTAGTCAAATTAAAGAAACAAGATACTTAGTCAAATTAAAGAAAGTCAAAAAAGATAATTAGTCAAATTAAATAAAGTCAAACAATTGATATAGACAAAATTGAACAAAGTCAAACAAGTGAATTAATTAAAATAAAAAGCCAAACCAATACAAGTCAAACCAGTAAATTATTCAAATTAGAGTCATTAAACCATATCGTCATAATAAATAGTAAAATAGATTATTGAATTTGAATTTGAATTTACAAATGTATTTATTTGTCTGAATTTTCTAGTGTTCATGTATTTTGAGTGTTTAAGTGTTCATGAATTTACAACTGTATTTATTTGTGTTAGTAACATTTAGGCTACCTATATGTTGTTTCTTGAATTTGAATAGAAGAAGAGCTTCCAAATATTGCCTTTCCCACTCGATGCAATGCACTCCTCAATCCCATAACAACCACCCGAGATGAGATACTTAAGATTCTAACGGGATTAAATGTATCAAAAGCACCGGGGCCTGATGTGATAAATAATAATATGATGAAAATAGCTGCGCCTGAACTATCAATAATCTTATCTAAGTTTTTTAATAAAATATTTTTGTGTAAAACTTTTCCTCTATCGTGGAAATTTGGCAATATAATACCAGTCCACAAGAAAAAATCAAAATCTGATGCTGCTAATTACCGACCTATCACGCTCTTAAGTTCAATGTCAAAAGTGTTTGAACGCGTTATCTTCAACCGGCTCTTTCAACACTGTATAGAAAATCATACCCTATATAGCCTTCAAAGTGGGTTTCTACCAGGGCATAGCTGTGAACGCCAGTTAATTTCTATAATTGATTACATAACTTCCTGTATAGACAATGGTGATGAAGTATCTGGTGTGTTTTTAGATATTTCTGCGGCATTCGATACAATGCCTCATAAATATATTATTACAAAATTGAAAAGCTATGGCTTTGGCTCCAATACAACTGATCTTTTATCATCTTATTTGTCAAATAGGAAAGTTCGCGTATTGGTAGACGGTCACGAATCTAACTACTCAGCTGATTCTTATATAAATGCAGGAGTGCCACAAGGGTCGATATTAGGTCCCCTTATGTTTCTACTGTACATCAATGATATGCCAGACAAGTTAACAAATAAATCCTTTCTTTACGCCGACGACACGTCCATCTATTGTCCATATAATAAAGATAATCTAATTGATAAAATGACAACTCTTCAAGAAGACATGGATATTATTAATGACTGGTCAAACCTATGGCATCTCAATTTCAATGCAACTAAGAGTGCCCATCTGATATTTCATGGAAGAAAAACAATTGAAAACATTTATCCTCTTCATTTGGGAAATACGCGTATACCTAAGTATGATCACCATAAGCACCTTGGACTTATATTGGACGGAAATCTAAAATTTAGCCATCACATTACTGAAATCTCGAAGCGCATTGACAAATTAATCAATCCCCTGAAAGTCTTAAAATCAAAACTTAATGGTATCCACCTATTAAACATCTACAATACATACATAAGGCCACACTTTGAATTTTGTGATATAATCTATGGCTGCGCAAATATAAACAAATTAAAATCCCTTGACTCACTAATGTACAAAGCTGGTATTATTATATCCGGTACCATTTCAGGATCTAGCTCAATCAAAGTCCTCAAGTGCCTAAACTGGTTACCGCTCGAAACCAGAAGATTCCACCGCCGCATGAACATGATGTATAGTGTCACAAATGGAAATAGTCCAAATTATATACTTGACATCTTCAGAAAGTTCCAACGTCCTGACAATAGACGCGTTCTTCGCAACAAACCATCATATATCCTCCCCGCAAAACGTGCTATTATTAAATCAAAATCGTGTGTTTACAGAAGTATAAAAGAATGGAATGATCTACCTCTGAAAATCAAACAATCAAACACACTTGATACATTTAAACGTCAAATGGCCTCCAAATCACTACCAACTCCTATGATAGCAAGTTTTTCATTAAATCTTACTAGACATCGGGAAAAACTCTTGAACCAACTCCGATGCGACCTAGTCCTCAAAGCGCAACTACATTCACATAATTTTAACAATGTTAATTCCCCAATGTGCGCTTGCGAACTAGAATCAGAAACACTCAACCATTTTCTTTTCAGATGCCCCCTCCATGTAGATGATTTCAAGTTGCTAAATGATAAAATAACACGTGAAAATCCAATGATAAAGTTTAACTCTATAACTCGAGCCAATAAGGCTAACACTTTACTATTTGGTCATCATCTCTGTAATAAAAATGAAAATTCATGTATCATCAAATCATTTGCTGAATATCTAGACATAGCATTTTCTAACCGCTGAGTCATTCTTTAGAGCACCACCAACATGCTACTAGTCGTGCGAGCCTCACTTGGCTGTATACCTTCAACTATGTAACACCGATGTACGTCAACTCCTATATTTCTGTAAAAATGGCTCATAATGTCAAGTTGACCGAGCCACTGACTTAAATACCAAATAAATAAAAAAAAAAAATAAAAAAAAAATAGAAATGTATTTATTTAGGTGAGTGAGTGTTATTCTCTTTTTATGTGACGATATTGAAACATTACATATAAAGGTACACAACGAAGGTAAATTCAACATTTAACTAAGATGGTGTCTGATGTACCCATATCTTGTCAAGAAATTTCAAACACTGTAAAATCGTTTCAAAACAACAAAGCACCTGCGATGGACGAAGTGGTCGCTGAACATTTAGAATATGGTGGTCCACACTTAACTCAAGCAATTGTTAAAGTTGAACGCTTACCAATTTGTTTTAAGATAGCAATCATGATTTCATTATTCAAAGGGAAAAATAAAGATCCCACATGCACAGATAATTTTCGTGGTCTCACACTCACATCGGTTCATTTTAAGCTATGGGAAAAGATAGTTTCTGTAAGACTCATTCCTAAATTTAAGATTTTAAAATGCCCTAACCCACTTCAATTTGCTTCAAGAGACTCGAGTAACCTGTGACCTCTCTCCTCTACTCGATTATACACCTCCTTACAGAGGTTGTTTGGATGGCCAGGTGGGGGTGGGGGTCACAAGGGCTTGTAGCTAGATTATTTAAAACAAATACAAGTGGGGAATATAAAAATTATATCACAACGTATTAAGCAGCGAAGAGCAGGGACTATTTTTAAAACAAAATCCAAGACGTTTGCCTACGTGGCGACTGCACTTAACCCCCCTATCACACCAAACTAGTTCTTACCCGTTCTTGCCAGTCCTACGAAAACGTCGTAAAACGGGCTCAATCTGGCTGTGGTCGGGAAATATCTCTAAAATAATTAGCTAATTCGTTCATAAACAGTCTTCAATACGTCCATCTCATTCGCAGTTCGTTCAGGTCGTCCACAATCGGTGTGCAACGTCGTATAACGCGTCCCTTCGTCCAGAAGGTCATCATGACCTGATTACAGAACGGTATGGTCGCCATCGAATTTTGAATCGATTCAAAATTCTAGAATCACCTTCCCGTCTGAGAACGTTCATGAAGTTCATAAATAGACCTTAGAAAGTTGCAGCTACGTTCATTCCGTTCGCACACCGTTTAAAACCAGTTTTGAAGAACGCAGCGGCAACTTGTTTGGTGTGATAGCTATATTTTTGCTAACTCGTTCATAAGCAGTCTTTAATACGTTCTTACTCAGTTTAAACCCGTTTGCAATTAGTTCTGTCTCGTTCTCAATGCGTCCTCAGACAGTTCAACTCGTTGTAAAAACGTCCCTAGTAGGATTGCAGTACGACGGTTCAGTTCGTAGTACGTCCAGCTCGTCGTTAGTACGTTGTCACTCGTTCTACTTGTAGAACGTGACGACCACGAGAACATTTTGAGCATGTTCTAAGTTCTAGAGGACCTACCCGTTCGAGTACGTTCGATGAAGTTTGTAAATAGACCCCAAACGGTTCTAAGTACGTCCAGTCCGTTCGTACACAGTTGAAGCCCGTTTTCGAGAACTAGTTTGGTGTGATAGTAGGGTAAGTTCGATTCACTTCCAAAAATCCTATTTTTATTAGTATTCCATTTACCCGACCCCTAATAAAAATGACAAAAACCAATTAATATCCGCCAATGTCTTTACTATACCAGGCATTACTATAGTAGAGATCATGTTATTTTTTAGCTTACTATCCAGTAACATGTGATACTATAAATACTATAAAAATACTATATAGTATTAAAGTCCCCGTCTAAAGTTTGAAAATATTTTTTTATCATTCATTTACTATTTGTCAGGACTTAAAAAGTGATTTTTGAGATTTTTGAACAAAAAAAAAATTTTGAAAAAAAAGTTGTGAGCATTTCATTTCTCAAATATTCAAATTTCCCGCCATTTTTCAAAAAAAGTTGAAATTTCTTAATCATCAAATATTTCTTAATGCATATAAAAAAAGATTATCTTTTTAACACCAATGCAAAGATTGAACAAAAAACACACTATTTCAATAATAAAATGTCATATTTAATGGGCCACTACAATGATTTAGCTAATCAAAAATATTTTGAAACATTAGTGATGTCACTAAGGTAACAAAAACTTTTTGAAAAAATTGAATTTTTTTTTTCGATGTCAATCTTTTCTAAATATGCTAGACTTTCATAAAAAAACAATGTTGATTGTTTAACCAGGTTAAAAGGAAGAATAAATTATGTTTTAGATATCATTGTACCCACTGTATGTACAGTGATCGCCTAGTATTAAAAGTGGGTGATCAAAGACTCGACAAGATGCGCAAAATTCAAATATCTTGTAACGGTTATTTTTAAAAGATTTATTTGTGTTTATATTACACGCTACTGGTGATTCAATAAGGTTTTGTAGGCACAAGAACACCCATATGCTTTGAAAAATATATATTACTTTGACCATTTTTCGTATATGTGATCGATTTTACGATGTAAAGATATAAATGCGATATAATATGTGCTGTTTTATTTAAAAAGCTTTAAAATATCAAAAACAATAGAAGATTTTTACTCACTTTAATTTTTTATACTTAGGTAGGGTCTTGAGCTTCCATTTGACCATGATAAAGTTCACATTTCCTCTTAAATAACATGGAATAAATATTTTAACACGGAAATGGATGGATCAGCCAATAGCGTGAGTTTCATCAGATCATACACCCATAACTATATGCTTTAAAGAGGTGTTGGTAGCGAAATTGGCTAATGGTGTCGCTGTGCAACCATTCCACTACATCTAAGAAACATCGGTAGGCAATATTGTCCAGTGGAAATTCATCTTTCATTAGTAGCTCCAGGAAGGCGTTGAACGTGGACAATGACCCATCCTTTGCTAACTTTTCTGCAATTATTGGAGTCATACTTTGAAGCTTGTTTATGATATCAGCTGTCACAACGTTCGGTTCATCTGCAGGTCCTTCTACCATTTCATTGTCATGAGAGTCTATTGTAATTTCAGAATCATCTATTGTCATTTCATTACTAATTTGATATTCTCGTTCTATTGCAATTTCATTGGTAATTTTATTTGATTTTGTAGGCGTTGAATCAGATATTTTGGATGATTTCATTCGATTATTGTCATTCACTGAAATTGTCATAAATTCATCACTTTCTACAATTATGTGTTTATTTATTGATTTCACTTCATTTGGTATTATTCCAGAGAAATTTCTTGTAATCATTCTAAATTTGCCTCTATTTTCAATAATCTTTCTCATCTTCATCTCTTCATCTTCATGGTGTTCTATAAGGTGATTTATAATGTTTTGAAATTTAACAGTTCGTAGTGAAGGACAATGTAAATCCAATCACTCTGAAATGCAAAGAACATATCATTAGAATCCACATGGTAAAATCACTCACTTGGCTGATCATAATTTTTTTATAACATCCTCCTTACTCGATACTGAAGGGGAGTTGGAACGTCTGATATGCATGTAATGTTAAGTTTTATGTATATTAACCATAGATGATATTGGTTTTGTGGTTTTGGCTATCTAAAAACAGAAAGTTTTGTGAAAAATACATTTTCTTTCGACGGGTTTTTGATTTTGCTTCTTTTATCAACTCAGTTCAGGTATTTCGGTTGATTTAATCACTGAATCCTGTTACCAAATGAATCTTGAGTCTCTTATACAGCATATGGAATACCATCTGTAGGTAAAATGACTTTAAACTGGTAAAGAGAAGACAAACAAACATACCTTTCCTTCGACATTTTGGATTTTGCGCATCTTGTCGAGTCTTTGATCACCCACTTTTAATACTAGGCGATCACTGTACATACAGTATGTACAGTGGTACCATTGGTTTCTATGAGAACTGAAATTTTGAAATGCATTTTTCTCAGAACCATTTTCATGCACTGATAAGTTCATTTCTCGCTTATTTATGAACCGATTTTCTTAATCTTTTCGGCAAAAAACATGGGAGGATGAATGCTATGCATTGGTATGAATTGTAGCTAATTAGAAGATATGAGTGACCTCTAAAAGTTGGTTTTAAATAAATTCACAAATTTTGGAACAAAAAGTTTATCAAAAAACACTTTTTGAAATTTAAAAAAAAAGTTTCACATATCACACTTTGATAACATTGAGTAAGACTACAATATAAGCCAAAGTGGTTTAAACTTTACATGGGGCCTTTAAACAAATACTGGATGACCATGAGGTGGATATAATACAGCTGAGAAGAAAATACATAATGGCATTACAACAGTGAATTAGTCAAATCATGGGCTTTCAACTCTAGTTGAAGCCCATGGTCAAATTAAAGAAACAAGATAATTGGTCAAATTGAAGAAAGTCAAAAAAGATAATTAGTCAAATTGAAGAAAGTCAAACCAGTGAATTAGACAAATTGAACAAAGTCAAACAAGTGAATTAATCAAATTAAAAAGCCAAACCAATAAAAGTCAAACCAGTAAATTATTCAAATTAGAGTTATTAAACCATATCGTCATAATAAATAGTATTATTACCACCTTGCCGGGCCAGTTCTAGGGGTTTTAGTGCTAGTTTAGAAGGCATTCATTTTACTATATCGACCTTAGAAATGTGTGACGTCATTGTGGTGGTCCATATGGACGGGTCTAGAATATATTCTGGACTAGCAATTTTCCCCGGGAAATTAGACATCGTTCAATGCATACGATTTTTTGCTGTTTCAGTCCTGGTCGTTAACGGTTGTAATAATACTAATATGCGAGCAATAATGCACTAATGCGAGCAATATAGTGAAATATTGGACCTTTGGCCTTCGGCCCTCGGTCCAATATTTCACTATATTGCCCTTAGAAATGACGTTATTGTACTAAAATAGGCCTAGATTATTTTATGAATTTGAATTTACAAATGTATTTATTTGTCTGAATTTTCTATTGTTCACGAATTTTGTGTTTTAGTATTCATGAATTTTGACTATTTTAGTGTTCATAAATTTACAACTGTATTTATTTGTGTTAGTTCCATTAAAGCTACCTATGTTGTTCCTTGAATTTGAATTTAGAAATGTATTTATTTAGGTAAGTGAGTGTTATTTTCATTTGGTGTGACGATATTGAAACGTTACATATAAAGTAAAGGTACAAAATAAATAAATACTGTGTTCATATACTAACTCAAGAATGTCTTTCTTCCTTTTTTAACTCACATGGTATGGTATTGCAATCACTCACTTGTCCGTCTGTCTGTCTGCCTGTCCGTCTGTCAACAATTGGCCAGTTTTAAAACCTCTGTCAATAGGATTCCCGTTTTAAGTAATTTTTGTTCAACATCTGTATTTATAGAACCCCCTCCCTAAAACTCCTGGTTCAAAAGCTCGCCTATTTTCAAATTGGTCGCCATTTTTGTGTCGCGAAATTCACTTTTGGTTCATTTCCTAGCTTTACAAATAATTCCAGGTGTCCTGCATTGAAAAAGCCATGTCACTGGAAAGATTAGTTGTATGAATTAATTTTGTTACAAAAAATCGGCAAAAAAATTTCTCCCATTTTTATGTTCAGCCATTTAGTTAACATTGATTTGTCCATCGATCTCGCGAAATCCACTTATGGACCATTTGCCTTAAATCTTCTGTCGATGGGATTCCCGTTTTAAGTTATTTTTGTTCAACATCAATGTAGAAAACTCCTTTACGACTCCTGGTTCAAAAGCTCACCTATTTTTAAAGGCTTATGGACAACTCATCCCCTAGACAACTCATCCCCTGGACATCTCATCCCCTGGACAACTCATCCCCTGGACATCTCATCCCCTAGACAACCCATCCCCTGGACAACTCATCCCTTAAACAACCCATTATAGTACTTATAATATATACATGGAGAGGATATTCAGGGACCAATACAGGAATACGACACCACAGGAGCGTGCCTTATTGGACTGGCGTAGAAATCTTAAACATGGCTGCTCAATTCAAAATGTGCAGCCATTTTTCGTAAAAATGTAATTTTTAATAGCCTAACTCAAATACTAGTAGTAAGTGATGCATTTGGTTCAAATTTTATATTCCTTTGCCTTTGGAAACACATGATCTCTGCTCGAGAAGGAATCGTTAAGATAGGACAGGTAAATAGTTCGATTATTTTCTCTGAAATCACGAGGCAATTACCTCACCTACCTTGTGTCTAGTTGTGGTCGTGTTATTAAAAAATTATCAATTTCAAAAATTTTAGACACTGAACACGCTAAAATACAAAATGGTACACACTACCATTCAAACAATACTGCCTCATTGGCCTTAACAATGACATTCATAAATAATATTTCTCTTTTGTAAGTATTAGGTGGCCCTGATAAGGGCCGTTGGTTTCTAATCTAACTGTTGTGATTCAGTTCATTTCTTTGCTGTTTTCTTGGTGGGCTTCTTGGCAGCGGGTTTCTTTGCAACGGTTTTTTTAGCTGCTGGTTTCTTTGCTGCTGGTTTCTTTGCAACGGGTTTTTTAGCTGCTGGTTTCTTTGCTGCTGGTTTCTTTGCAACGGTTTTTTTAGCTGCTGGTTTCTTTGCTGCTGGTTTCTTAGCAGGTTTTTTCGCTGCAGGCTTCTTGACTGGTTTCTTGGCTTTTGGCTCTGCTTTCTTGACAACTTTGAAGCTACCGGATGCTCCAGTCCCCTTGGGTTGAGCGAGTGTTCCTGATGCCACTCCTCGTTTAAGAGCCATTTTGATGTGTACATCGACATTGTCACCGACTTTGAAATTTTCCTTGATGAACTTAACGATGGCTTGACGGGATGATCCAGTACGTTCCTTCAATGTCATAATAGCTTGTGTTATCATCTCGATGTATTTAGGGTGCTCCGCTGGTTTCTTAGCACTGGCTTTCTTTGCTGGTGATGCAGACATATTGAGAGTTGTTTGCGATTGCTGTATACCTTCTGATTAACAAATGAATGATTTCCCTATGTTCATGTTCGCGCTTTATACTGCTTTACGCGGACGTCAGAGAACGGAGTACTGTATTATTGCCAAGTAACAATTTAATATGGATTCTCCTAACAAATATGTGTTTCTTATCCATTTTTAAATGTAATTTTGTAGTATGAATAATATGTTTCGATAACTGTTTGATACCTTTATCGAAAGCTAGTGTGTTAACTTTGCTTTATATCAATCCTATTTTCAAAAGTGAATTACGAAAATTGAAGATAATTGTTAAATGAGTCTTAATTGGTACTTAATAAAACAAATATATTTTATTAGTGACCAATTTTCGTTCAATTTCGGATACTGGAACCATAAATTTCCAGAATGTTGGAAAAATACAACCTCCATGCTTTATTTTAATACTATACATGGTATTCTTTAATATAGTTTTAAAGCTAAAATTAAGAGATTATTTCTACAAACAAACACATTGAAATGAATCAGTTTGGCCAGTCGCCATTTTCCCGCTCTGGACTACTTTAACTTGATACGGAATTATAATCTAACACATGTACAATATACATGTGCAGTACAATCCATTGCATTCAAAACCTTTGCCCACGTCCAACCTTCCCCCTCTCCCAATCCCACGAAGAAATTGTCACGTTACTTTATTGCACACAGACGTGGTAGGATGATAGATATTTCGTTTCGCTAAAATATATTCATGAATATAAATTATTTTTACATAATACGTTTTTATTAATAATAAAATCTAGTCAACTTGATTTCAAACCACAGTCTAGCCACAAGCCCCCTGTGACCCCTCCTCCACATGATTACACCCCTCCTCACAGAGGCTGTAGGGATGACTAGTGGGGGGGGGGGGGGTAACAAGGGCGTTAAGCTAGATTATTTAAACCAGATCAATCTGTACACGTACAAAGACGCTGACATAGTTTTAAACACAAATACAAATCGGGAATATAATTATTATATCACAACGTACCAAGCAGCGAAGAGCAGGGACCATTTGAAAAAAAATCCAAGACTTTACTTTCGTCGCCTTCACTTCCAAAAATAGTATCCCATTTACCCGATCCCTAAAAGAAATGACAAAAAAAAAACAATTAATATCTGTCAATATCTCTTGAAAATTTGATCTATTTATACATATATGCTGAGGGATGTCTGGGGTGATAATGAATCTTATTATACCATTGCTAGCGATCCCTCAATTTTTGGATTATAAAAGACGTATCGCCCGTATTGCCCGCCCAGGAATTTCAAAATACTGCACTGGACGAAAGTAAAAGTGTACTATACAATGATACTTGTACGTACATAGTAATTATGTTTATGATATATTTATTGATAAAAATAAATGTTTAAAATATTCTATATTTCTTACCAATGCAAAGTGATCGTAAAGAATG